AGAAAGAAAGAAAGAAAGAAAGAAAGAAAGAAAGAAAGAAAGAAAGAAAGAAAGAAAGAAAGAAAGAATGTATATGAGAGCCCCACCATAGTTTTTTTTGCCTTCTTTGGAAAACAAACCAACAGACTAGATGACCTGATTTCTGAGTCACCTTCTAGCCCCTATTTAGGCACCTTCTTCTCAGGGCAAGTCTATCATGCCCTCCTGAGTACCCTTTTTGTTGGTAAAGATCTCTTATTATATGGTTATATCAAAACTACATCTTTCTGGATCTGCCTTTCTTGTTGAATTATAAAACCCCTAAGGACACAATGGAATCACTGTGCTACTTTCATTTTAAACTTAAAAAAAAAAAAAAAGCATTTACAGAATGAAATTCATGACCCAGCTTGTTGGAGCCAGCTTGTTCTACTAATAAGTAAAGTAGTAGTGATTTGTTACTGTAGACGTGGAAGAGGTCTTCTATATCCAAAGATTCTGAATAAAGTGAAATAGAGTGTTTTTCCTGATGAATTTAAAGCCCAGATAGGACAGCATTGGTGTCAAAAATTTTTAATCTGTTTTATCAAAACCTCACCATGATCATGTCCTCTAAGGAATGACTTAATTTTATGTGTTGGTTGAGTGTGCTAAATGGTCTTCAAACTGAAGTAGGAGTAAGGGTCCCCTCAGTAATATATTAAAATGCAGATTCCTGAACTTCATGTGTATGTGTTCTGAGTCACTCAGAGAATACCTAGTCTAGGTCTCCAAGTTTTTGTTTGTTTGTTTGATTTGGTTTTGTTATTTACTTATTTATTACCATTTATTCACTTTGTATCCTGGCTGTGGCCCCCTCCCTCGTCTCCTCCCAATCCCACTCTCCCTTCCTCTTCTCCCCCTATGCCCCTCCCCTAGTTCACTGATAGGGGAGGACCTCCTTTCCTTCTATCTGACCCTAGCCTATCAGGACTCAGCAGAGCTGGCTGCATCATCTTCTTCTTTGGCCTGGCAAGGCTGCACCCCTTTCCCCAGGAGGAGGTGATCAAAGAGCCAGTCACTGAGGTAACCCATTTGGAAACTGAGCAGGGGGTCCAGGTTCTCTCTATATGGTCCTTGGTTGGAGTATCAGTCTCTGCAGGCTCCCCTGGGCTCAGGTTTTTTTTGGCTCTGTTGGTCTCCTTGTGGAGATCCTCTCCCCTCCAGGTCTTTCTATCTCCCACTTCTTTCATAAGATTCCCTGCACTCTGCCCAAAGTTTGGCTATGGGTCTCAGTATCTTTCCTTTGATACCCTGCTGGGTAGAGTCTTTCAGAGGCCCTCTGTGGAAGGCTCCTGTCCTGTTCTCTGTCTTCTCCTACTTTCGATGCTTATCCTGTTTGCCCTTCTGAGTTAGGTTTCAGCCTCTTCCCTAGGGTCCTTCATGTTGTTTAGCTTCTTTAGGACTATAGATTTTTGTATGTTTATCCTATATTATATGGCTAATATAGCATTTGAATGACTTTCATGTGTCTGGTAGGGATTGTACTTTGAGGTACATTGTCTTCTTCCTATAGTAGAACATAAGAAGAAGGGGCTGAAAAACCACCTCAGTGTGGGCCTCAAAGAGGTGCTCTCTGGGTATGTGTCAGATCAACAAGGCCTTGAGGAAGGAGAATGGGCAGTGGGGATGCTGAAACAAGGACTCACATGAGGCCTAGACTGCAAATGTGGAGAGAATTTTGAAAAGTCCAAAATCAGCAGTGAGAATCTTGCTGTATTTTCATAATTTTCCTATGGCATGTCTTAAACTTCAAAATAAAATTTAATAGAAATATAAAATTTTATAATTAAAATATTTTAATCTGCCTTCAGGAACCAAGTAACTAAGAAATATTTTAGGTTGTCTAGGACAGTGAATGTTTTTAAATATGACACATTTTTAACTTTACAGTAATGTAAAATTCCATATAGAATTTCATTTCTGGTTTAGAGACAATAAAACCATGTAACATAGAGGATATGGGAAACTATTCCATGTGCGGAATAAGTTAACTTTGTAACCACAGTGAGGAAAAATGCATTTTTTCCCCTAAATGCAACTTTTAAGTTCTGTCAAATTTGTCACCCACTTGTTAACGTTTTAGAATTTGAGAACCATTGCATGATTTTTCTAAGATGCTTCATATTTTACTCTATGTCAAATAACAACCAGAAGGAGGTGGATAAATCAAGACCATTTGAAGGCCCTAAACTTTTTATTTTAGTTCATTGTTTCAGCTTTCTTCCTCAATCAGCCGTATTCAGGGCCATTAGCAAGGATCTAACTGGTTGGCTTGAGGGTTTATTTTGTTGTTATTGTTGTGTTTTGTTTTTGGTTTTTGCCATTCGCTGACCAGTGTCTGTCACTAGTTTTAATGAGCTTCAAGTGAGGCAGACAAACAGACCAGTAGCCTGGAAGGAGATATGAAGAAGTGGTCACGGACAGTCTATTCAGACAATCAACAAAATATGCTTTAATTGTAGCAGCACTGCTAGAACTAGTGTCAGGCTGCCTCATTTCATTCCTGTCTATTTCAGTCGACTCTGCTTCTGCCTTCCATATGAGCCCAAGATTTTTGCTTTATTCATAGATGGACAAGACCTCCCTCTAGCCATCTCAATTTTTGGAAGATACAGTTTCTCAGACAGCTGAGTGGAAGCTGAGTGTATGGGGGACGGGCAATGCTGTTCCTACCATAATTTACATCTTGCTTTTGCTTCACCCAAGACTTCTGCTCTCTGGTTACTCACACTCAACGCTGCTGCTGCTGTCTGCTTTCTTGCAGGTGATCCGTAAGGGCTGGCTGACCGTCAGCAACATTGGCATCATGAAAGGAGGCTCGAAGGGCTACTGGTTTGTCCTCACTGCGGAAAGCTTGTCGTGGTATAAAGATGACGAGGTAAGCCATGGAGGGCGACAGGTCCCCAAAGCGCTTCTAAAATGCAGTTAACCGATGCTGCTGTGATGCATGGCTCCAGACCCCGGTTCTTTTTGCCATGAGATCTGTCAGGAAATACTGTTTTAGAAAAGCCTTGCTTTTCCTCTCTTCTTACAGATCTCGAGTTTTACAACGTCCCCACTAAATTTACTTTCCCGCTTATTTCTTAAGTACAGCCCTGTTTTGCTGACCCCCCCAAAAAAAATGAATTTATGGGTCAGGAGTTGAAAACTTCCTTCCTCATGTTACTATCAAGCCACCGGTACAATTTAATGAAAGTAACTTTTATTAAATGTTTTGAAAAGACATAAGGTAATAGAAGGGAAACGAATAGCACGCTGGGGTGAGTAAAGCAGTGTGGAACTGTTGCCATGGCATCTGCCTCAAATGAAAGGCTAGGGCAATGGTAAGATTGCTGGTCTCCCTGTTAGTACCAGATCATTATACACATTTTCTTCTTTGAGAATTTGATATCTCTGTAAAAACAGAAGTGACGATAATTGTGGTGTTCTGGCTCATGTTCAGCGTTAATAATGTCATCCCATGACTTACCGCTTACTTAAATCTGATAGCTAGAAAGGCACGGAGAAGTCACAGTAGTCTTATAGAGTCATTAAGGTGCTATAAAATCTTAGAGCTAGATTTTAGAGGACATGGATTGAAACTGAAGTATGTTCTGGAAATTTTAATAGCTCTGCTCTAGCCAGTGAAGTCACTGGCATTTGTAATACAGCACACAAACATTATGTAAGTGTGCCCTTGCATAGCAGAATGGTAAACAGGTGAGACCATCTCTATCTAATTAGCTATCAAAGACATATGGCCGATGAAAACTCCCTCCTACTTTTGCCTGATTGCTTTTGAAAGCATTAAAAGAGCCTTTGTCATTTCTGGGAAGAAAAGTGTCATAGTTCAGGGTTCTTTCCATTTCTTCATGTCTTCTGTGTAACACTATGTTAAAAAGTATTGGATGATGGCTTGATTCCCATGGAAGATTCTGTGACATGGAAACCCAAAATCTTTAGAAATGCTGGAACAAATTTGCCATTTAAGGCATTATTTTCAATTTTTCATGTCATCGACCTCAGCAAAAAGTGATATTGGTCACCCCATAGGCTCATCTATTTGAGTGTTTAGTTACCAGGGAGTGGTACTATTTGAAAGGATTAGAAGAATTGGGAGGTGTGGCCTCTCTGGAATAGACATAGCCTTGTTGGAGGAAATGTGTCACTGGGGGTGAGCTTTGAGGTTTTAAAAGTCCATGACAGGCTCAGGCTCAGGCTCTCTCAGCCCACAAAGAAGAATGTAGCTTTCAGCTGCCTCTCCAGTCTCTGCCTGCATTTTGCCATGCTCCCTGCCATGATAATAATGTACTAAACCTCTGAAACTCTAAGCCAGCCCCAATTAAATGCTTCCCATTTAAGAGCTGCCTTGGTCATGGTGTCTCCTCATAGCAATAGAACACTGACTGACACAGTCATTTTGAGAAGCTGAGTATTAGTTAGCAATGGTTTCCTGTGGCTGGTGAGACATTGTTGTCATTCTGTGGGAAGCTCTAATTTTAGGAGTCATGGTGTCAGACACATTTACCCCCAAATATTTAGATATTCACTTACATACATTATCAGTCTTGGGACCCATTCCCAGTAATATAAGCAGGTGGTTTTCCTTAGAGTCATAATAGTGGCAGTCAGTGTTTCGTGCATGTTAATTAACTGACCCACATAGAACTCTGGGAAAGGTACTGTTATTATTTCGGTTTGGAGATGGGGGCACTAAAACTAGCAAACATGATCACCATCACCAGCGCAGGCCATCATTTTGGAAAGTCATTTCAATATGGTTTGGTTTATCTTATAAAAGCCACAGCAGTGTCCATTAGGATAACCAGCTTCCATTAGTCAGATAGAGAGTTGGTAGCAAGGCAGAAATGGGTTCTGAGAGTCCCAGAGGTACTCAGGGTTGTTCCATCTTGCCTCACAGAGGATCCGCAGGGATAATTTTCAGGTGACTCAGCATTGACCTATTTCTGAGAGCAGCCACCATGGGTCATGAGCAGAACATGATGTGTTTCTGAGAGATCTTGAGGAGCCATTGCTTTTGCAGCTTAACTGTGGGGCTGGCTCTCTGGCCTGCTGTGTCACCCCTGGAAGGGTAGTGAGCTATCTCATGTTCTGAGTAGGAAAGAAAGAAACCTTGCAAGCCCAGAAAGTTACATCCCTGGACTTTCCCTTTTCTTTAAAGACTCAACAGGGACTATTTCTGACATGAACTCAATGGCTGGCTATTTGGCCGCCCCCCCCCTCCCCCAGGGAGGAGCAGCCTTGCTAGGCCACAGAAGAGGACATTGCAGCCAGTCCTGAAGAGACCTGATAAGCTAGGGTCAGATGGAAGGGGAGGAGGTCCTCCCCTATCAATGGACTTGGAAAGGGGCAGGGAGGAGATGAGGAAGGGAGGGTGGAATTGGGAGGGAATGAGGGAGAGGGCTATGGCTGGGATACAAAGTAAGTAACCTGTGATTAATATAAAAAAATAAAAATTATTATAAAAAATAAAAAAATATATTCAAGACAACTACAAAGACACTGCTCTCCCAAGAATGCTTACTTTCCACATATAAAAACTAAACCTGTGCACCAATATTGCCTATGTCCAGTGGCAAATGCAGAGGGATGTTGGAGGCAGGGGAGAATGTGAATGACCCTTGAAATAAAGGGTCACTTTCCTCCTAAAAGAGCATACCAAGAGAGAGGAAAGGACAGACAAGCCTGGAACTATGTGTAACCAACACCCAAGTGGATACATAGGGTAGTGTCAAGCACCCAGTGCCCTGGAGAGAATGAAACGGGGCAAGGATGGAGAAAATGACAGGGGACAAGCCTTTAGAATGAGTAATTAGGAAAAAAAAGTCTATTGGAGGATGATCCATGGAGAAGGATCAGTTGAACAGCAATCCCACAGAAGATGTGATAAATGCAATAGTCTTAGAAGCTTGTGACCAGAATGTAAGCACAGTTAGGGGACAAAGGTGCCAGGGGCTAGGAGCTTACTGAGCCATCGCCCAGTTGTTGGATCTTATTCCAAGGAAAACTGGAAACCTCTAAAGCACCCGACAGGGTGTGGCATGATTACATTTGTGGTTTAGACAGGTCTCTGTGGAGCTGCGTGTGGTATTCAGTGTATTCTTAATAGACAGAGGTGGTGAGAACAGAAGGGAGTCCAGCTTAGTAAGCATGGCAGGCCAAGGGCAGACAGGATGGTCACTGAGCCTAGGGAGTGGCTGCAGGGGAGGAGCACACCAGGTCAAGTGACGCTCAGTTGACTTTAGGCTCTGGCTACTGCTGCCTGCTAAGAGACTCTGTCCAGAAACACCATGGGAAATTTTCATTTTAGGAATGGCTGACCCCAGGATGATGACCATCTCCAAGGAGTCGGCGTTAGTGGGGCAGAACCATCTCCATTCTCAGACCACTACTCCTTGGCAGCCACCACTGTCCTCCTCTCCCCTGCTCACTGGCTTCCCAGGCCAGAGCTCCCTGTCTCTGCAGACCATTCCTGAGTGTGCAGCCAGGGCAAAAGACAGGGGACTGCACTGTTTCTTGCTCTTTGGGAGAGAGTAAACAAGTGATAGGGTCTGTCGGGGGATGGAGTGGGAGGGAGGGTAAGAGGACCAGGTTCATGCAGGAAGTATGAGGAGTGTGGGGCTGAGCAACACACCAAGGGAATCCTGAATCTGTGTGGCACTCTTTGTGAACAGCACCATTGTAAATGATGCTTTGTTCCAAAGGGGCTTGCTGGCATGGTTCAGCTAGGGGTTGCTTAAATGTGATTCTGTTGATAACCTGTAAAGAAATTCCCCAAATCTAGAATATTCCTGTATGAAAAAAAAAAAAAAAAAGAGCTTTAGTTCTATCTCAACTTGTGGAGCTAATTTGTTGGGGGGGGGGGTGAGTGGAATGCTTAGATTGTCCCTATATGTACATTTCTTCATGTATGTCCCTATATGTAGAGAAGCCTGTTTCAGAAAGAAATTATTGTTATTATTATTTTTTAATATTTTTTATTTTAATTTTTATTGATTACACTTTATTCATTTTGTATCCCCCCTGTAGCTTCCTCTCTCCTTCCCTCCCAATCCCACCCTCCTTCTCCCTTCTCCATGCATGCCCCTTCCCAACTCCACTGGTAGGGGTGGTCTTCCTCTCCTTCCTTCTGACCCTAGCTTATCAGGTCTCATCAGGACTGGCTGCATTGTCTTCCTCTATGTCCTGGTAAGGCTGCTCCCCCCTCAGGGGGAGATGATCAAAGAGCTAGTCACTGAGTTCATGTCAGAGACAGTCCCTATTATTATTATTATTATTATTATTATTATTATTATTATCATCATTATTTTGTCAAAGAAATGTGACAAGGGAAAGATCCTTGGATTAGTTGTGGATTCATTAATTTGTTTAGTTTAATTAATTAACTAATTAATTAATTTACATTTAAATTTCCATAGAGGGTCTCTGTATCATGTACTTTGTTTTCTTTTGTAATTAGGCAGGTGTGTGTTTTCATTTTCACCTAAATGGCTGCTTAATAAATAGGTCATTTCCTGTGAGCATATATGGCTTAATTTAACTTTTGACAGGTTTCTCAATAAAGATGAATGACTCAATAAATATGCCCATGATGAAGGAACAAGGCTGGTTCTCAGGATGACACTAATGGAGCACAGGGCTATGTAGACCTGGTGCTATGAACGGGCGTGGGCTGGGGGTATGGGTTTGCTGTGGCTGCCTGCACTGGGTCAAGTCTCTCCACTTTTCTGGGCCTCAGTCTTTTCATTGACCAGTGGGCACCATTGCTGACACAACCACCTCAGAAGGATTTTACAGAGGGCCTCATAAACCATTTGTGAGCCAGGGTCCTTGCTAACAAACCAGTGTGTTCATTTGAGCTATTGAAAGTGTCGCCAC